ATAGGTAGTGTGGTGTGTTTTGGTAAGGATTAACTCTAGCTGACAGTGGTACTGCTGACAGTGCTACCACTGACAGTGATGCTAACAAGTGTACTTGCCTGGACAGGTAGTAACACTAATACTGCGACAGATAGGTAGTGTGGTGTGTTTTGGTAAGGATAACTCGAAGCCTGCCCCCCCCCAACCCCAACCCCCCCCACCCGCCCCTAGCCCCCCCTCCCAACAACATAGCCCAGTGTGGTAACAGTATGCTGACAGGGTTACTGCTGACATTGTACTGTGACAGTTGTACTGCTGACAGTATTACTGGTTGACAGTTAAAAAGTAGTGTGGGGTGTGGTTGTTTTGGTTAAGATTAAACTTAGCTGACAGTGGTTATTGCAGACAGTAGAACTGCTGACAGTGGTACTGCAGACAGTAGTTCTGCTGACAGTGGTACTGATGACAATTGTATGCTGGACAATGGCTACTGCTGCAGTAGTTACTGCTGACAGTTAGTCTGCTGACAGTGGTTAACTGCAGTAGGTACTGCTAAACAATTGTACTGCAGGCCAGGGGTACTGCTGACAGTTGTACTGCAGATGGTGGGTCTGCTGACAGTGGTACTGCTGACAGTGGTAATGCAGACAGTGGTTCTGCTGATGGTTGTACAGCAGACATTGGTACTGCTGACAGTTGTACTGCTGACAATGATACTGCTGAAGTTGTTACTGCTTGGACAATGGTCCCCCCAATAAGACAGTGACAGTGGTACTGCTGACAATGGTACTACTGACAGTAGCTCTGCTGCCACTGCTGTTGACAGTGGTACTGATAGTATTGCTGACAGCTCCTGACACCTCACAGATATTTACTAATGTTATTATTAATATTTTTGTTGCGTTATTTATGTGTACTAATAGATACACTCCATTATATGGTACACTATATACACTCACTTATATGGTACACTATATACACTCACTTATATGGTACACTATATACACTCACTTATATGGTACACTATATACACTCACTTTATATGGTAACACTATCATACACTCCTTATATGGTAACTATATTACACTCATGATTTGGTACACTATATACCACTCACTTATATGGTACACATATATACACTCACTTATAGGTACCACTATTACACCACTTATATGGTACACTATATACAACTCACTTATATGTGTACATATATACACTACTTATATGGTCACTATTACACTCACTTATAGGTACACTACTATACACTCCACCTTTTTGGTACACTATATACACTCTCTTATATGGTAACACATTTTATACACTCATTTATTTGGTACACTATATAACACTCACTTATATGGTTACACTACATACACTCACTTATATGGTACACTATATACACTCACTTATATATGGTTACACTATATACACTCACTTATTGGTTACATATATACATCACTTATATGGTACACTACATACTCCACTTATATGGTACAGAGATACATACACTCATTATATGAGTACACTATATACACTCACTTATATGTCGTACACTATATACACTCACTTATATGTACCACTATATTACACTCACATATATGGTACACTACATACACTCCACTTATATGGTTACACTACATACCTCACTTATATGGTTACACTACATACTTCACTTATATGGTTACCTCTATACACTCACTTTTATCGGTACACTATATACCACTCAATTATATGGTACACTATATACATCACTTATATGGTACACTATATACACTCACTTATATGGTCAATACATACACTCACTTTATGGTTACACTATATACACTCCACTTATATGGTACAATATATACACCTCACCTTATATGGTACACTATATACACTCATTATATGGTACACTATATACACTCAATTATTATGGTTACACTATATACACTAACTTATATGGACACTACATACACTCACTTATATGGTACGCTATATACACTTCACTTATATATGGTGCACTATATAAACTCACTTATATGGTACACTTATATTACACTCACTGATATGGTACACTATATTACTCACTTATATGGTACACTATATTCACTCACTTATATGGACCACTATATACATCACTTATATGGTACATATATACACTCACTTATATGGGTACACTATATACACTCACTTATATGGTACACTATATATACACTCTACTTATATGGTACATCTATTACACTCATATGGTATATATATACACTCACATGGTAACTATATACACTCACTATACACTTATACAATCACTTATATGGTACACTATATACACTCATTATATACTACACTATATATACACTCATATGGTACACTTAGATACACTCCTTATTGTACATATATACACTCATTATATGTACCACATATATAACTCACTATACACTTATACACTCACTTTATGGTTACACTATATACACTCAAATATATAACAAGACAGTAACATCACAGTAACAACACAGTAACAACACAGTAACATTAACACAGTAACATCACAGTAACAACACAGTAACGTCACAGTAACAACACAGTAACAACACAGTAACAACACAGTAGCATTAACACAGTAACATCACAGTAACATCACAGTAACACAGTAACAACACAGTAACAACACAGTAATATCACAGTAACAACACAGTAACAACACAGTAACATTAACACAGTAACATCACAGTAACAACACAGTAACATTAACACAGTAACATCACAGTAACTAACACAGTAACAACACAGTAACAACACAGTAACAACACAGTAACATCACAGTAACATCACAGTAACAACAGTAACATCACATTACCAACAAAGTAACTAACACAGTAACGACACAGTAACAACACAGTAACAACACAGTAACAACACAGTAACAACACAGTAACAACACAGGTAGCAGTCGTCTAGACTTATATATATCTCCTGGCCCTGATCCAACACATGCTCTCTCACCCCTCCCCCTCCCTCACCTCACCCCCTCCCTCACCTCCTCCCACACCCCAACCCTCACCCCCTATCCCTCCCCCTCCTTCACCCCTCCCTCACCTTCACCCCCTCCTTCACCCCATCCCTCACCCCCTCCCTCACCCCAGTCCTCACCCTATCCCTCCCCCTCCCTCACCCCATTCCTCACCCTCACCCCCATCCCTCACCCCATTCCTCACCCTCACCCCCATCCCTCACCCCATTCCTCACCCTCACCCCCATCCCTCACCCTCTCCCTCACCCTCTCCCTCACCCTCTCCCTCACCCTCTCCCTCACCCCATCTGTCACCCCCTACCTCTCCCCCTACCTTCAAGATCTTGATCCAGGGAACACACGTATTCACAGCCACGTGGGAGGGGGGGGAGTTGAATGATATCTCTAGGCCTTTCATGTTGCAACTAGGTCGTCTTCAGGAACTTGCAGTGTTGCAGAAGTCAGGAAGTGCAGATACATCCCTTGAACCTGTCAATCTGTTGTATACATGACCTTTATGATGTATATTGTATACATGACCTTGTATGATGGTGTATGTTGTATACATGACCTTTATGATGTATATTGTATACATGACCTTGTATGATGGTGTATGTTGTATAGATGACCATGTATGAAGGTATATGTTGTATATTGTGGTGTATGAGAGTCAAGTGTCACTAATACAGTCTCTTTCTATTATTGTTGCTTGCTACTGCAGGCTTTTGTTGTTGTTGTTGTTGCTGGTAGTGCTGTTGTTGCTGCTCCTGTTGTTGCTGGTAGTGCTGTTGTTGCTGCTCCTGTTGTTGTTGCTGGTAGTGCTGTTGTTGCTGCTCCTGTTGTTGTTTCTGGTTTTGTTGTTGCTTCATCAGTAATATTGTTGATCAGGTATGTGGTGTGGCACCTGGGAATCAGGTACATGATGTGGCAGCTGGGAATCAGGTACATGGCGTGGCACCTGGGAATCAGGTTCAGGGGAAGTGATAGGCGAGTCCAGTTCCTTGGATGAAGAGCCCTGAGTATCATGATGGCACTTATAATGGCCCCATGATGGCACTGTCAGTTATAATGGCACCATGATGGCACTGTCAGTTATAATGGCACTAAGATGGTACCATCATAATGGCACCATGATGGCACTGTCATTTATAATGGCACCATGATGGCACTGTCAGTTATAATGGCACCATGATGGTACTGTGGCTGAGAAGGTATACAACAAGAGGTCAGTGACTGTATCAGAATGTAATGTTGAGCAGTGATTATATTCTTTATTAACCTCTCCTTCCTACCTCATTCCTTCTTTCATTATTAACTCTTCCTTCCCTCCTTCACATGAAGTAAGGTAGTTGTATATGCTAGCACTAGTATTGCACTAGTTGCAATCTTGGCACTGTTTCCCTGCAACTATTTCCGGACTTGCAACAAGCGCCTTGCTCTGGCCTCGTCACATTTTCCCGGTTTCGTTCTTGTCATAAAAACCACCCTAAAGTAACTACCCATGAGAGGAACGACATACATTATTGTCCTGTTATTGTCTTTGGTGATGGGTTTGTTGCATAAAAATTTGTGTTTGCAGATGTCAGCTCGAGGGAATGCAAAAAAAAGAGGAGAATTTGGCGAGGTCCGTGGTGGCGAGGGACTTGCCACAGCGGCAGTGCCAGTCGGAGGCGGCAACGGCAGGTAGCCACCAGGAGGCTATCGCCACCAGCGATGCCACTATCGCCACCTTAAAGGACCCAGTTGATCATCAACAGGTCGCCAGCCAGGAAGACATCAACGCCTTCGAGCACGGTACATCACTGAACGAGGTTGTTAACCCCAATCTCCAATTAGATCAGGTAAGACTACATTAATATGCTTTCTGATTATTTTGGTACATATTGGCACTACTTTGTGTGACACTGTTAATTGCTGTATTACTCCAGATATGGAAGTATATGTGGCACTATGCCAAGGATGGTGCTGTGAAGGCTTGGTTAATGTTAATAATAGATGCCTGGGTGAGTGAGGCTGGTGTTGGGGCAGTGCCAGGCTCTAGGTGGCACTGCCCCAGGCACCTGAGTACCACCACTAGTCAAGGGTAGGACTCTGTTGAGAGGGTGGTGACACTCTTTGGTGCCATAGTGTAATAGGGGTGGCACTAGAGAGTGGGAATTAGTGGTTGCTGTTGCCATCCTGCTGATCTGGCAGCTATGGCAGACCCCAAGCAGCAGATAGAGCAGGAGTGTCAGCAGGTACAGGAGCACCTGCTGAAGCTGACTGCTGACCGTAATGCCCTCCACCATGAATTTGAGCAGCTTACCCGCAGCAGTCAGCGCCTGCTTCAGCAGATACAGGAAGACAGCACCACTGCTGGAGAGAGGAAGTTCCACAACTATGAAGCGGAAAAGAAGCGGATCGAAGAGAAGCTGGAGGCTCTGGAGAACGACATCTTGGAGAAAAACAAGAAGATCCTCCTCTTAGATTCCAAAGCAGGCGATTACTTATTGCAAGTGAGCACTGCTAGCAACACGCTCTTTGATAATGAGGTTGCAAAATCTGGCATCAGTGGTGATGCAGTGGGTAGCAGGGAGGTTCTAGCATGTAGCCAGGGCGGTAGTTCTACTAGTAACGAGGTGGTTCTTAGCAGTGTTGATAAGATTGAAGATAATAATGTTTTGTGTAGTAAAGAAGCAGCAAGTGATGTTATTATTAGTAAGGTTTGTGAGCAAGGTAAAGTAGAGGAACCCAGTCAGCAGGTAGCAGAACCTCCTGCTGGTGGGTGCCTCATCTCCTGCTCCACTACTGAAGAAGCTGCAGTGGAAGTACAGGTGGAAAAAGAAATTTCAGTCAGTGAAGATGAAGTGAAAAAAGAAAAATTGAAAGAAATTGATCATAGTGCAAAAACAGTTGATGTGAAAGAAGGGGATACCAGTGTTAAAAGTTCACTTGAGGGAAATACAGAGGTGGTAGATAGTGCGAGAGAAAATAATGGAATACCTGAAGATGATGATAAAGGTGAAGTCAATATGGAGGCGGTGAATAACAGCAATGAAGAAGTTATGAATGAGGTGATGTATGGCAGTGTGGGGCATAGTGCATTGCATGTTGCTGCTGCACCGTCAGGCTTGTCTGTAGCAGCAACCATGCAGCAGGCTGCTGCTGGTGCAGCTGTGCCTGCTGCTACACATGCACCATTGTCTCCATCTGTTGCAACTGCAGCTTCCTTGCAGCAGTCTGCTGCTGGTGCAGCTATCCCTATACCTGCACCATTGACTCCATCTGTAGCAGTTACTGTGCAGCAGGCTTCTGCTGATGCGGCTGTCCCTACTGCTCCACCTGCACTGTTAAGTCTATCTGTTGCAAGTGCAGCTTCCCTGCAGCAGGCTGCTGCTGGTGCAACTGCCCCTACTGCTGCACCTTCTGAAACATCTGCTAGAGGTACACCAGGGGCAGACAGTACAGGTAAGCAGACTAGTGGTAATGGGTCACCAGTGCGTGATCAAGTGGCCTCTCTGTCGGTGCTCGTGGCTGAGCTGCGTCGTGTCAAGGACGACATGGGCAAGTGCATGTCCATCAAGGAACAATCCTTCATTGAACTGGAAGATCAGCTTCAGGCTGCCAACAGAGAACTTTCGGCTCTCAAGGTTTCAATGTCGGCTGTGTCGAAGGATCTGGAAGAAAAGGAGCAGCGTTATCAAGCCTTGGAAGAAGAGAACAAGAAGAAGAAGATGGATATTGAGTTTAAGATGAGTGAGATACAAGAAGTGACAACGAAGTGTACCATGCTGGCCGAGGAGAAGACGGATTTGTTGCGCAAGTTGGAGGTGTTGGAGATCATGATGACGGAATATCGTACGGAGATCGAGATGCTCATCGCGGAGAAGACCAAGATGGAGGAACAGACCAAAGAGTTACTGGCTGCCAAGACGACAACGTCGACGGCCGAGGCTGAGATAGACTCCAGGACCAGTGTGGAGGAGAAGGAAAAGGAAATTGAAGAACTAGTGGAGAAGGTGCAGAGTATGGAGAAGGCAATGAAAGAATTGAACGATAAGTTGAAAGTCACCAACAGGCACTTGAAGGTGATGGCTCGTGAACGCGAACACAAGCAGAAGGAATGTGAGGTTCTTCGACGCAAGGTGGAAATGGTGGAGCTCAAGATGTGTGAGCTTCAAGGAACCTTCGACATGCTGGTGAAAGCTGTCATGGTCGAACGAGACAATGTTATTAAGGACATGGAAGACAAGACCGGCCAGATAGACGACCTCCAGCAGACTCTAGTTCGACTCAAGGACACTCATGAGCAGGAGCTGGAAAATGTTCTCTATGAAAAAAGGCTCCTTGATGACGAGCTCTCCAGGTATAGATCCGGGGAGCTGAGGTCATCAGCAGTAGCTGTAGTGGAGCAGAGAGACTTTGATGTTGTCACACAAGAGAAACAGACATTGGAAATTCAAGTGAAACAGAAGACAGAGGAGACTAAAATCCTCCAGGATAAAGTAGAGAACATCCAGCATGACATGACGGAGTTCGTGGCATCTCTGAAGGACGAGATGCAACGCCTCAAGGAAGACAGCGAGAAGGTGAAAGCAGAGAAGAATGACTTGACTGCAACGTTCACCACTCTGCACGCCGAACATTTAGACCTGACCAACAGACACCAGCAGTTGGAAATGTCGTTCCAAGAACTGGAAAAGTCGAAACGAGAAAAGACTGACAATCTGGAGTCCCTACGACTCCAGTTGGAGGACCTCCAGCACCAACTGGAAGATGTCAATACCAAGAACATCAAAACAACGGCTGTGATGCGCACCAAAGAGGAGGAATTTCGTGAGGAGTTGGCAGCTCGCGAGGGAACTATCCAAGAGCTAACCATTACTCTCACAAACAATCAAAAACAATCCATGGAAAACTACAATGCTCTTCTGGATGACAAAACTGCTCTGGAGATCAAATATAAAAATATCCTCACAGAAAAAGAAAAGCTGAAAAAAGACTTGGATGAAAAACTAACTTTATTACAGGAAGAAAAGAGTCAGGAAGTTAAAGAGCTACAGGAAAAAATAAAGTCAACGATGGAAGAATTAAATAAAGTTAAGAGTGAGCTCTCAGAGCCAGTAAGAGCCGGTGAGGAGCAAGATAAGGTCGCCTCATCTCAGGTCAACACTGATGCACCTTCCCATCCTCCACCGACTGTTGGAGAATGTGGAGAAGTTGCAGATAGAGAGGAACTTATCAAAGTTCTCACTAAGAGAGGACAGGACCTTAAAGAGGCCCTCGAGAGCACTCACAATAAGTTGGATGCCAAAGAGGAAGAAATACGGACTCTTGTGGAGGAAGATATTCCCAAGCTGCGCCAGACCATCAAAGAGCTCACCATGGAACTTGAGGCTCTCAAACAGAAGTCTGCCAGCGCGGGAACTTTCGAGAGTCATGAGCAGTTTGAGTCTGTCATAGCTGCCAAGGAGGAGAAGATCAGAGAGCTGGAGTCCAAGGTGGGTGAGCTGGACAAGTGCACAGCGTATATCACCCAGCTTGAGGGACGCCTCCAGGAAACCTCAGCTGCTCCGAACACTTTAGAATCTCAGCTTGAACAAATAAATCAGCTTAGTGCAGACATTTCTAAGCTGAAGGAGGAATTGCAGCAGAGCTGCAAGGAATGTGAAGCTTTGAAGGTTACTGTCACAGAACTGCAGAATGAAAACAAGAATTTACAGAACGAGAAGTCAAAGTTAGTGGAGGAATACGAGAAGAAGTTAGAAGAAGCACGTAACAACGTAGAGGAAGCCAGCAGTCAACTAGAAGAAAAAAAAAACTCGGTTGAAAGATTAGAAAGAGAACTTAGCAGTAGTATTAGTAGTCACTTAGCTAAGGTTTCTCTAGTAGAGAGGAACCATATGAGTAGGGTAGCAGAGTTAGTTAAGCTTCATAGATATAAAGTAGAGGACCTTAGAGTAAGCAACGCAGCTCAGCTCGGCAAGCTGCACAAACACATTGAAGATTTGTACCAAGAGAAAGCAGCCCTCAACGACCAACTTCAAACGATTAAGTTCAGTGTGAGTTCGTCACAACGAGAAATAACTTTAGAACAAGAAAGAGACAGCCTTCAGTCCCATGTTATAACTCTTCAACACAACGTTGAATCATTGGAAAAAGAGAAATTGCAAATTGAAGAAGAGAAACGACTATTGAAAAATGGCTTTGAAGAGGAGCAAATAATGGCACTGGAGATGCAAACCCAAATGGTGAGTGACCTGGAACAATTAATACTGAACTTGGAATCTGAGAAAGGCAGTCTGGAGAAGGAACTTGCTAACTTACGTTCCTCCTGCGATGCTCACTCTGCCAGTCTTTTAGAAAGCGAAAAGAAAGTTGCAGTATGTGAAGATCTGGTTGTCAACTTGGCCAAGGAAAAGGCAAGTCTCAAGGAGGAGATCAAAGGTCTTAAAGAAATCATCGGAGGAGAGACAGTGTCCCGGATCAGTGAGGATCATCACAAGACCAAGACCATTGAGGAACTGACAGCTAAGCTTGAGAAGCTGGAAACTTTGCTTGAGAAAGCACAAATAGCTTTGGAAGAACAAGAAGATGTTTATGCTCTTAAGCTTAAAGAAGAAAAAGATGACCACATGATGCAGCTCAAGGCTCTGCGTAAAGAATTGAACGAAGAAGTTGGCGTGATCCAGGAGCGGAAAGAGCAAGTGGCGCTAGAGTATGAAGACAAGATTGGTCTGATAATTGCAGAGTACCAGGAGCAACTCAGTAGCTTGGCCAGCAAGCATGAGGCCAGGTTGCTGGAAGAGAAGGCTGAATTTGGCCGAGTGTTGGTCTCCAAGATTGATGAGTACGAGGGCCGGTTGGCCACCCAGGCTGCCGACATCAAGTCATACGAGGCTCAGCTTGATGTTCTTCAGGGTGACATCGACAATAAGGCAAAGGTGATCGAGGAGCTGGAGTGCAGCCTCGATGAGATGACACTAATGAGAGCTGCTCTGAGGGCTCAAGTTGACGACCTCAAGTTAAGCATCACTAAAATAAATGAGGGTACAGAAGGGTCTTATTTGGATGTCCTCCACGCCGACTATCAGTCTAGACTGACAGAAGTCCAGGAGCACTATGAGGCCCAACTAGCGTTCTTGCGCTCATTGCTCTCAGGAGCAGAGAGTGAGGTACAGAGAGCAACATGTAGCTCACCTTCCCAGGACTCTGAGTACTCAATTGAGCTCTCGTGTCTCCGACCGTACTTGCAAGGACAGTCGTCCCCCATAGCTGACCTGGCATTAGAATTAAGGTCACATTCTGCCCAGGGATCACAGTCTGGCTTCCTCAGTGAGACTGATACCAGAGCATCGTGTCAAAGTTGTCATATCTTGGCACGGTCATCTTCAAGCACCAAGTGCAAGGAAGAAATTCGCTCTTACTCATCGGCAGATGGCAAGATTGGCATCACTCTGACTTCCCTAACTGCACATCTAAGAACTAAATCTATATCTAAGGCTAAAAGTAAGTGCAAGTCCAATGGATCAATCCCACGCTTGCTGCTCAACTCTGCCTCCAGATCTGAGCTCAAGCAACTACAAGCAACCTTAGGCAACAAGAACAAGTCAAAAATGTTGGCAAACTTGCCTCAGGGATCACAGCAGACAAATGACTTGACAGGAAACACCTGTCAAACTCACACACCTAATTCTGATTCTCATTCAGTAGACAACACACTGGATGGGTCCAGGCATGACTCCTACATTCCCAGCCCTCTCTTTGACTCAGCTCTCTCCAGCATGGGGGCTAGACCACGGCCCCCTCGCAGATCTGCTGCAAAGTTCAAATCCTTTCCGCCATCAAAACAACCAATTTGCTTCGATGCGGAACCCTGCCCAGCCACTGATGCCATATCCAGCACTGGTGAACCCTGTTCAGCCACTGATGCCACTGTACCCAGCAGTGCTGAGCCCTACCTGGCCCTCAACGCCATTGTACCCAGCAGTGCCGAGCCCTACCCAGCCCTCGACGCCGGCACCACGCCGCTCGACAAGTACCGTATTAAATTAGAAATGTGCACTTGTTGCGTAGTACAATAACTGAGCTTCGGCAAGGGGTGACGACTTAAAGACTTCGGCCAAACCCTCTCCTACATTTTTGATGACTTTAGGCAGCTGACGGCATTGATGTGCTGATGCTAGAGTGATGCGCTGACGCTAGAGTGATGCGCTGACGCTAGAGTGATGCTAGAGTGATGTGCTGACACTAGAGTGATGCTAGAGTGAGGTATCTAATACTTCCTGCCATTTTTTATAGCAGTGATCCCTTTTGTGTCAAAATTTAACCAGTCTTTGTTAAGTTAAAATTAATATTAAACTCATCTCTTAGTGCTTTAACTAATAGTTTCTTTAATATTAACTTCTTAGTATAGTTAGTGAAACATATATAGTGAGTTTCACTCACCACACAAAGTGAAACATATATAGTGAGTTTCACTCACCACACAAAGTGAAACATATATAGTGAGTTTCACTCACCACACAAAGTGAAACATATATAGTGAGTTTCACTCACCACAGAGTGAAACATAGCGAGTTTCACTCACCACAGTGAAACATATATAGTGAGTTTCACTCACCACACAAAGTGAAACATATAGTGAGTTTCACTCACCACACAGAGTGAAACATATATAGTGAGTTTCACTCACCACACAAAGTGAAACATATATAGTGAGTTTCACTCACCACACAAAGTGAAACATATATAGTGAGTTTCACTCACCACACAAAGTGAAACATATAGTGAGTTTCACTCACCACACAGAGTGAAACATATATAGTGAGTTTCACTCACCACACAAAGTGAAACATATATAGTGAGTTTCACTCACCACACAAAGTGAAACATATATAGTGAGTTTCACTCACCACAGAGTGAAACATAGCGAGTTTCACTCACCACAGTGAAACATATATAGTGAGTTTCACTCACCACAGAGTGAAACATATATAGTGAGTTTCACTCACCACGGAGTGAAACATATATAGTGAGTTTCACTCACCACAGAGTGAAACATATATAGTGAGTTTCACTCACCACAGAGTGAAACATATATAGTGAGTTTCACTCACCACAGAGTGAAACATATATAGAGAGTTTCACTCACCACAGAGTGAAACATATATAGTGAGTTTCACTCACCACACAGAGTGAAACATATATAGTGAGTTTCACTCACCACACAGAGTGAAACATATATAGTGAGTTTCACTCACCACACAGAGTGAAACATATATAGTGAGTTTCACTCACCACAGAGTGAAACATATATAGTGAGTTTCACTCACCACAGAGTGAAACATTTTTACCTTCTAAAACTAGGTTAGAATTTTTAAAAAATTTAATTGAAAATATTAGAAAAGGTTGAATGTCAGCTCCTGACCCACTGCATGTGAGTGCAGGTGAAAGGAACAGTGCAGAGTGCAACACTAGCTTGTAGCGCTGCTACACTAGACATTACCGTTGTAGATCTGAACGTAATTCAAAACGGGGCATCAAAAAGTCATCACATGGAAACTAATTTCCCAGATTTCTTCAGTGACTCAACATAGGAACTGAAGGATGAGTGAGGATGTTACAATCCTGGAGGTGGTAAGTACAGTGACTGTACTCTGAAGGATGAGTGAGGATGTTACAATCCTGGAGGTGGTAAGTACAGTGACTGTACTCTGAAGGATGAGTGAGGATGTTACAATCCTGGAGGTGGTAAGTACAGTGACTGTACTCTGAAGGATGAGTGAGGATGTTACAATCCTGGAGGTGGGAAGTACAGTGACTGTACTCTGAAGGATGAGTGAGGATGTTACAATCCTGGAGGTGGGAAGTACAGTGACTGTACTCTGAAGGATGAGTGAGGATGTTACAATCCTGGAGGTGGGAAGTACAGTGACTGTACTCTGAAGGATGAGTGAGGATGTTACAATCCTGGAGGTGGGAAGTACAGTGACTGTACTCTGAAGGATGAGTGAGGATGTTACAATCCTGGAGGTGGTAAGTACAGTGACTGTACTCTGAAGGATGAGTGAGGATGTTACAATCCTGGAGGTGGTAAGTACAGTGACTGTACTCTGAAGGATGAGTGAGGATGTTACAATCCTGGAGGTGGTAAGTACAGTGACTGTACTCTGAAGGATGAGTGAGGATGTTACAATCCTGGAGGTGGGAAGTACAGTAACTGTACTCTGAAGGATGAGTGAGGATGTTACAATCCTGGAGGTGGTAAGTACAGTGACTGTACTCTGAAGGATGAGTGAGGATGTTACAATCCTGGAGGTGGTAAGTACAGTAACTGTACTCTGAAGGATGAGTGAGGATGTTACAATCCTGGAGGTGAGAAGTACAGTGACTGTACTCTGAAGGATGAGTGAGGATGTTACAATCCTGGAGGTGGGAAGTACAGTGACTGTTCTCTGAAGGATGAGTGAGGATGTTACAATCCTGGAGGTGGGAAGTACAGTGACTGTACTCTGAAGGAGTACATTATCATGGTTTATCTGAATTCTAAACATTTACTGGAGTTGGTGGAGACAGTAACTTTTAGGGAGTTGAAGTGCTGTTATAGAGTGAGTAATATACGTATATTATATATTTACATAATATATAGTATATATATAAAATATATATATATATATATATATATATATTTATATATATATAATATTATATATATATAATATATTTTATACATGTATATATATACATGTTATATATATATATATGTCGTGCCGAATAGGCAGAACTTGCGATCTTGGCTTAAATAGCAACGCTCGTCTTTGCCATATAGGACAATTAGAAATTTGTGTATGCAATAATTTCGCCAAAAATCATTCTGAACCTAACGAAGAAAAATATATTTGATTGTGTTTGTTTAGTACTAAATTATTGTAAACTATTTAAAATATTTTTTAGTTGGGTTAGGCTAAATAAATTGTTCTTGTTATGAAAAGGGTTAGGTAAGTTTTCTAAGATTCTTTTGGTGCAAAAATTAAAAATTTTTTACTTTAAACCCATTAATGAAAAAAATATATCTTTTAACGTATAAGAAAATTTCAGAAAGGACTTAATTTTAAATGAGTTCTTTTCTAAATTTACCAGTTTTACATATTCGGCACGACACCCACACACACACACAATATATATATATATATATAATATATATATATATATATATATATATATATATATATTATATATATATATTTTATATATATATATATTTATATATATATATATATATATATATATATATATATATATATAATATATATATATATATAAAATATATATATATATAATATTATAATATATTTATATATATATATGTATAATTATATATATATAGTAAAATATATTATACATATATATTTATATATATACATACACCCACACATGTCAGTACATGCCTAGTTGAGGTCCTCTTTAGTTTAAGTAGCCTAGTAATATTAATAATAATAATAGCAATAACAGTAATAATACTAATCACCTGTCAAATGTTCTGACCACATCTCTAAATTACTCTTGGCTATTTTGAATTTAATTTTGAGAGGAAATGGGGTAAGACTTTCTGGGGTTCCTCCAACCCAGAGTTTATTTGCTACAGTGAACCTTCGATTTAATGCACTAGTGGGGGGGAGGGGGAGGGACCATTTAAGCAGAATGTCAAGAAATTGTTCTCTAAGGCAGCAGAACAATGAGTAATTATTGTTCTTGAAGGTGACAATAGCGGACAGTTGGGTATTTAGCAGACTTAGTCTGCTAAATCTGGAAGTGGACATATCCGGTGGACTGCAGCAACTGTACCGGACGATTCCTCCAGCAGACAGATTGTAGATAATTCTGAATCTGACAAACACGGAATTGTCCGTGAGCGTAAGGAAACCTTCCGCTTCAACTTTAGCGATGCGTCGACCCTTCAACTATTGCGACATTGATCATGTCGCTGCCACAACTACACATCTCCTTCGTATCCAAAACTGAAAATATTTTTCTACATAAAGGTACTAATTTTGTAAGTATTTTAAGTTAGTTTAAGGTCAGTACTTAGGGCGATGTGAGACAGCAAAGTTGGTGGTGGATATGTCACATGTCCACCTCTCTAGGTCACACACACACACGCGCGCGCACACACACACACACACACACACACACACACACACACACACACACACACACACACACACACACACACACACACACACACACACACACACACACACACACGCACACACGCACACACACGCGCACACACGCGCACACACGCACACACGCACATGCACACGCACATGCACATGCACATGCACACGCACACACACACACAGGGAGACAGACATGAGGCACTAAACTACAGACCTGTATCACTAACGTGTATAGTATGCAAGGTCATGGAGAAGATCATCAGGAGAAGAGTGGTGGGGCACCTGGAAAAAAACAAGTGTATAATTGACAACCAGCACGGTTTCAGGGAAGGAAAATCCTGTGTCACAAACCTACTAGAGTTTTATGACAAGGTGACAGAAGTAAGACGAGAGAGAGGGGTGGATCGACTGCATTTTTTTGGACTGCAAGAAGGCCTTCGACACAGTTCCTCACAAGAGGTTACTGCAAAAGCTAGAGGATCAGGCACACATAACAGGAAAGGCACTGCAATGGATCAGAGAATACCTGACAGGGAGGCAACAATGAGTCATGGTACGTGACGAGGTGTCAGAGTGGGAGCTTGTGACAAGCGGGGTTCCACAGGGGTCAGTCCTAGGACCTGTGTTGTTCTTGGTATATGTGAACGACATAACGGAAGGGATAGACTCAGAAGTGTCCTTGTTTGCAGATGATGTGAAGTTAATGAGAAGAATCAAATCGGATGAGGATCAGGCAGAACTACAAAGAGACCTGGACAGGCTACAAGCCTGGTCCAGCAACTGGCTCCTTGAGTTTAACCCTGCCAAATGCAAAGTCATGAAGATTGGGGAAGGGCAAAGAAGACCACAGACACAA